CAGTCCCCAGAGCCCCCGAGTCTGGGCGAGTCCATTTCCTTAGGGACCCCTTTACCACCTGTGAACTGGGGGCTTTAAAAGTTTGCTCCTGCGGCTCTTATCACAGGCCCTGGGCTGGAAGGCCCCTCCAGACCCTAGGAGTTCCCATGTCCCTGGGAGAGGAGGAGGCATAGGGAGTGGGCCGGCTCACCCACCCCGGGCCTGGGGCTGTGCTGCAGTGAGGCCCACAGGCTCCTCAGGCCGAGCCACTGTGCCAGGTGAGGCCACCGACTGGGCCTGGATATACCTGACTGGGCCACCGACATACCTGACCAGCTGGGCAGAAGAGGGCCGCTGCTGCAGTCGGCTTCCTTGACTCCCCTCCCCAGCCCTTGCAAGGCAGCCTGCATTCCCAGGAGGGGTATGCTGACCCATCCCATTGGGCACCTGCCCCACCCTTGCTCTGCCTTTGTGGGAGACCTGGGACCTGAGATGGGTCCACTGCCCCTGGGCAGGTGGGTGAGGTCAGAAGGCTACAGAGGCTGGAGCTGGCTGGGCCAGCAGGAGCAGTGGGCTGGGTAGGACCGAGCCTCACCAAAGGCTGTGGGGAACGGCCCGGGGGCGGGTAACCCCAATTAAAGTCGTTGTGGGGGAGCAGCCACAAGCCTGAGCCTGCCTTGACCTTGCCAGCCTATCCACAGGCCTCCCCTCTCCAAGGAGGACAGACACAGCAGTGGGGAAAGGATCCTGGGGCTTCTTGGAGGGCAGGGTAGCTGAATGCAAGCCCTCACCTGATTCCAGCTCTTGTGCAACTGATACTATTACACCTGCTTCCTGGGTCCCTGGAGGGCATGTCCCTCCCCCAGGACAGAACCTGGGGCTCTTCCAGCCCATCAGCTTTTAGGCAATAATCTCATCTTCCTGGACCACGCCCGTGATGTGCCAGGAAAAGCGGGCTATGACCTTGGACTCTCAAGTCCCTGGGGCAGGGGATAGGTTTTCTCCAGGTGATGAAAAGCCCAGGGGAGCTTCTTTGGAACAAGGAGTTGGTTCACATCAAGGGGAAGGCCAGTGGCTCTGGGGAAGGGGCAGGGACCCCCTCTCTGTTATTTACTTCCTGTGTATAGAACTCAGGACCCCTGACCTCAGTCTGGAGCTCCCTCCTGCACCCTGGCGGGCGGTGTGCTGGGTGACAGGGCTCTGGAGGGGTGCCCTGAGTGCAGCTGTCGGAGGAAGCAGGGTGGTGGGTGGGGGAGCACAGAAGCCTGTAAGGCCCCGGGTGCAGTCCTGGACCTCGTGGAGCCGCATGGAGAGAGGAGAAGGGCCAATGCACAGGAATGGGTGTGGGATGAGGGCACTGGACAGCCATAGGGTCCATGTGGAGGAGGATAGGTAGTCAAGGAGGGCTTCTGGAGGTGGCGTGGAGGGCCCATCTCATGGCCAGAGAGGCCACCTAGGAGGTCAGGCAGAGCTGCCAGTGCCAGCCTGGAGGTGGGGCCACCTTCGTGCTGGTCTCTGGGTGGAGAGCAGGTGTGATGGGGCTGGGTACAGTGGGCTACCTCAGAGCACTTTGGGCAGGAGTGACAGGTGCCCGCCAGCCCCCTGAGCAGCCATGCTGGCCACCATCCTGGAGGAGACCAGAGCAGGTGCAGAGGGAGGACTGGAGGCCCTTGGGGGCTTTGGAGCCTCTAAAATGGCTGAGGAGAGGAGGGGTGGGCACACTGGTCCCCAGGTTGGGTGTGTGGGGCCGAGGTGGGTGGTGGGTGGCCACTTCCTAGGACTGTGGCCTGTGCAACCTCGGGGGGGCGATGGGTTGCCGTTCACTGACGGGGGAGGTGGGCCAGCAGTTTCCAGGTGACAGGCAGGAGTTTGGTTTTGGCTGTGGTGACTTCGAGATTCCCCAGGGGCCTCCAGATGGATGTGCAATGTTAGCGGCCTCGGCCAGCAGGCGGGAGGACCTCCCTGATATGCCCCAACCCCTGGTTGACAGGATCCCGCTGCACAAGTTCACGTCCATCCGCCGGACCATGTCGGAGATGGGGGGCCCTGTGGAGGACCTGATTGCCAAAGGCCCCATCTCGAAGTACTCCCAGGCGATGCCGGCCGTGACCGAGGGGCCCATTCCCGAGGTGCTGAAGAACTACATGGACGTGAGTATGGGATCTTAGCCCTGCTGGGAGCGGAGCCGCTCTCCAGAGAGCTCCCTGGGACTGTGGGGACACTCCCGCCTCCTGTTCTCAGGGGCACAGTTTGAGTGACTCACTTGGCCAGGGTGGCGTCCAGGCTCAGCCACACTCCTGTCTTCCCCATCCTGGACCTCCTGCCACTGGCCCCTGTGGTTGCAGGATCTCGGGCCTGGGAGGGTGATTGAGGGTGGCCTCGGGCCTCGGTGCCAGCTCGCCCGGGGGACAGTCATTGGGTCTGCCTGGGTGTGGCCAGCTGCCCTGGAGCCTGTCTTTGTTGCTGTCCTGCCAGGAGGCCTATGGTGACTCGTGGCCCCTCTCCAGCCCCTCCCCATCTTCTTCCTCTGGCAGCAGCCCCTCCTGTGCCCACGCCTCCTTCAGGGGGAAGCAGGATCCAAAGGGGAGCACTCTGGAAGCCGCCTAGCGAGCTGGGGCTTGGTCAGCCTTGTCCCAGCGCTATGGGGTCAGTTCGAGGCCAGGGCCTGCTGTCCAGCCTCGGGGCTCTGGCCCACTGTGGGGGGGGCCTTGCCCTCTGTCCTGCTTGGCCCAAGTCCTGGCTGTGACAGGAAGCCCGAGACTCATAGGCATGTGACTGGGCGGGTTGGGGGGAGGGGGCCTGGGGGGAACCGGGTGCCGTGTGCCTGGTCCCGACCGGCCAGTTCCTGATCGCCCTAGCGCGAGAGCACGCCGAGGCACACACATGCACACGCACACATGGAGATTTGATTGCCCTAGCGCGAGAGCACGCCGAGGCACACACATGCACACGCACACATGGAGATTTGATTGCCCTAGCGCGAGAGCACGCCGAGACACACACATGCACACGCACACATGGAGATTTGCTGAGTGTCCCCCCGCCAGTGGTCACTTCTGTGGGGCCATGAGTCAGCAGCTGCTGCTGCTCTGTGAAGCCAGGCGGTCAGAGAAACATCGGGCTGGGCTGGTGCCAGGAATCTGGTGGCTGACAGTGGCCCAGGCTCTATTCCTGGGGGAAGCGGGCGCCCAGGCGACCCCAAACTCCAGGACCCTCTTACTCTCTGCCTCCTGAGATGCTCAGTGGGCGTGGGACCCCTTGTACTTGCCTGATCCCTGAGTCAGCACCCCCACCTGTCCCTGCTATCCCTGTGTACACATGGGAAAACTGAGGCCCTGGGCCATTAAGGAAGGGTTGCTGGGCAGGCAGTGACTAAGGCTTACCTTCTCCCCTTGACCAGCTGAACCCCTCTGCCTGGAAGCCCTCCAGGCTTGGGGTTCACCCTGGAGGGCAGGGCAGGCACTGAGACACCCAGAATCAGACCCTGATACGGTCCCAACCTGGGGAGGAAGTCACTTCCCTTCTCAGGCCCTGGACCCCAGGCCACCAGGGGAGTCTTCCAGGCAGGCCCTTCCTGTACCTGGGGCTCAGGCCGAGGGCCACATCTGTCCCCACCCTGGATTGACCTCCGGCCTTGTCTTTTCCGTGGGGAAGTCCTCAGCCTCACCATGTGTCGAGCAGGGATAGGTGGCAGAACCCAGAGGTCTGGAGACCCCAAGCACCTGTGGGCATTAGGACTGAGGGCTGGGGACCTGGCCCATCTTCCCTGCAGGCTGAGCCGGTTGGAGTAGGTGGCTGTTGGCAGCTGTGGGCCCCATGATGCTCGTCCCTCCAGCATGGGCCTTCAGGCTTCAGGGTTTGGCTCTGGGGACAGCCGGGCCTTCTGAGGCCTGGTGGGGAGAGAGGGCCCCCTCCCCATCCCTGACGGACCCTGTCCCCTGCCAGGCCCAGTACTACGGGGAGATCGGCATCGGGACGCCTCCCCAGTGCTTCACGGTCGTCTTCGACACGGGCTCCTCCAACCTGTGGGTCCCCTCCATCCACTGCAAACTGCTGGACATCGCTTGCTGTGAGTCACGTACCCCGGCCCCGTCTCCCAGGTCCTGCCCTTTTGGGATGTCGCCACAGCACTGCCTCAGGAATCACTTGGGCAATGCACTTCTCCCGCCTCTTGGCCCCATGAGCCAGGCCGGCCCTCCACCCTGCTCCAGACACTGGCTTTCTGGCTGAACCACCAGCTGTGGTCTTGCTCTCAGCAGCGCTGGGGCTGGGGTGGCCGTGGAGGGAGCCAGCTGTGGCTGGGAGGGAGGCCCGGGGTCACAGCCCACAGTCCTGGGGCTCTGGCACGATGGTGGGCCTCGGATCCCCTCCAGATCCCACCCTGGGGAGGCAGCTTGCGGGGAGCGGGCTCCATGGTAGACTGCAGGGGGATGGGAGGGCCGTGGCCGTGGCGTGGGCTGCGGGATGACCGGCGGGCCCTCTTCTCGCCCGGGGCAGGGCTCCACCACAAATACAACAGCGACAAGTCCAGCACCTACGTGAAGAATGGCACCTCATTTGACATCCACTACGGCTCGGGCAGCCTCTCCGGATACCTGAGTCAGGACACTGTGTCGGTGAGTCCCTCTGGGGCCTTTCCCAGGACTCCAGGGTGCCAGGCTGTGGGGTTCACCCACCGTGGGTATGTGGTTGAAAGGGAGGGCTCGGTGATCCCAGGCCGACCCCAGCCCTCAGGTGGCCGGGGCGGTCAGCAGGATGAGGAGGGGCCTGGGAATGGGCCTGGTCATGTGCAGGCTGGAGAGACAGCCTCGAACCTGGGGGCTGCAGGGGCAGGGGTCCCCGGAGTCAGGCCACAGTGAGTGGGAGGGAGGACAGGGCAGATTGATTGGGCTTTTTTTGGCACATTGGGTTTGAGGTGCCAGCAGGTGTTGAGGGCTGGGCCTGGGGCTGCACAGGGTCCTTGCAGCAGGCCAAGGGGTTGGGGAGGCTTGGGGCTGGGAGGATTGCCAGGAACCCGCTGTGGGGGCTGCTGGCAGAGAGTCACCTGCAGGAGCCTGGGAGGGTAAGGGAGGGGGAGCAGCAGTGGCTGTTGGGGGCCCTGCCTGGGCTCCACCATCCTCAGGGCCCTGTGGAGAGCTGCTCCCTGCCCAAGGAGAGGGCGAGCTGGCCCTTGTCACCCTGCCTGGGCCTCAGTGAATTCTCACCTCGGAGCTGTCTGCTGGGGGTGGGCCAGGCCGCAAGGGGTTCAGGAGTAGTGGGACGGTGACACAGCCCCCAGCTCCGGAGCAGGCCAGGAGGGCAGCAGAGCCTCCCTGCAGGCCAAGGGACCTGGGAAGAGGGCCCCTTCCTCCAGCTGGACCTGCTCCTAACAGTCCGTGCTGGGCTGGAGTCCAGGTCTGTACAGGGGGCTCCTCGGAGCCCTCTCCTCTGGGCCCTGCTCAGCCTGAACGGGAAATTGCCCCGTCTGCCCTCTTCCGCCTCCTCCGCCCCGTGTCAGCCTCAAGCTGTCGTTCCCTTCCCACATCCTGCTCTGGCCTGTTCTCTTTCTGCAGCCTCATCCAGGGCTGGGGGAGGGGACAGTCAGAGACGGGGACGGGGGCAACACGGCTGTGAGTCTGGGTTGGGGTCGGCGGCTTCCCCGTCTCTCGGGCTCCTGGCCCGGGTTGTCTCTTGTTCCCAAGGCTGAGGGCAGGAGCAGGAGCAGGACCTGCCTGTTGGTGGTGGTGGGATCAAGAGGTCAGAGCAGGGAGCGGGGCAAGGGGTCTCCCCGTCTGTGCTCCTGCCTGGTTCCCATCTCCTTAAAACCAAGCCCCAAAGTCTCCCACGAAGAGGGCTCCACCTCACCCCGCGTCCCCATCCCCCGCTGTGTTCAGCTCACCGTTTCCAGCCCTTTCTGCTGGGCCCTCTGGGCCCCATCGTGTGTGAGATGAGGGGCATGCATTGAGCTGGGTTTTGTAGTGCAGCCTCATGCTCAGACGGGTGTAGGGCTCAGCCTGTCTGCGACCCACTGACGCTGCCCTGGCCTGCAGGTGCCCTGCAAGTCAGCGTCATCAACCGCTGCCCTGGGCGGTGTCAAAGTGGAGAGGCAGGTCTTCGGGGAGGCCATCAAGCAGCCAGGCATCACCTTCATCGCAGCCAAGTTCGACGGCATCCTGGGCATGGCCTACCCCCGCATCTCCGTCAACAACGTGCTGCCCGTCTTCGACAACCTGATGCAGCAGAAGCTGGTGGACCAGAACATCTTCTCCTTCTACCTGAACAGGTGGGCGCGTGGGTTCCCGCTCCCCTCCTGCTCTCCTCGCTCAGCGTTGTTGGGAGGCAGGGCGGGGCTGGGCTGGGAGCCTCCCGGGCACCCCCACTCAGTGCCGCCCCCTCCCTGCTGCTGTGGCCAGAGCTCCTGACCTCTGACCTCAGGGTGTCCGGGAGGCAGGGGTTGGCCGCCCTTCTGCAGAGGAGTAAGCAGATCGCAGAGAAAGCTGTTTGGCCGGGGTCTCCCAGTGGGAGGAGCTCAGGCCAGGCTGTGGGTCCTGGGACCTTGGCAGCTGGGCCTCCCTGCTATGAGAACAGACCCAGTTCGGGGGTCATGGCGGTTCCTCTTGGTTCAGTTGGCCCGTTGGTCCCTGGACCTGGTGATGGGCATGTGTGGTCCTGGTCCCGGGTTGCTGATGGTGGAGAGGGGGCATGGTGGCCAGGGGCCTGGGAGTCCCTGGGGAGGTGACTTGGGTGGGTGTGGGTCCCCGGCACCACGCAGCGAGCAGCTCTGTGGGTGTCCCCAGCAGGTGCTGGCTGCCCTCTAGGAGGAGCATAGGGGGGCCCTTCCTTCTGGGAAAAAGGTTCTCCCCCAGGGTCCCCACCTGCTGCCACTGCTTCAGCATGGGTGAGCCATGGTCAGGCCACCTTGGGAAGGGGGCCTCGGCCTTAGTTAGTTTCCTCTTCTCGGGCAGACCTGAGCGAAGGGTTCCACATAAGAGGGGTGACTGGGGGTTGGGGGCTTTTGCCCTGGGGGTGGGCAGCGTGTCAGCCGGCGGCCTCCTGCCCTGAGCTGTGCCTGGTCACTGCCCCATACTCTCCAGGGCTGACAGGGGCAGGTTCACCTCATGTGGCTCACTTGGCACTTGGAGTCTCTGGGCCTGACACCTGACCTTGGGGCACTGCTGGCAGAATTCCGGCCGTGGGGCTGGCCTGGCCTCTTTACTCTGTCCGTTGCCTGGGCAGTGAATACTCCTTAGCAACACCCTGGGCTGAGCTGCTCACTGGAGGCCAGGACACAGGTGAACCAGCTGGGCCATTTCCCCAGGAGCCTTGGGGCACAGGCGAGGCAGCGAGGTGAAGAGGGGTCCCCTGAGGGCAAGAGGGCACACAGGCATGAGTGCCCACATGGGGGAGGAGGGCACACAGCCTGAGTGCCCAGGTCGGGGAGGCGGACACAGGTATGAGTGTCCAGATGCAGGGAGGGGCACACAGGCATGAATGTCCATGTGGGGGAGGGGCACACAGGGTGAGTGCCCAGGTGAGGGGAGGGGCACACAGACTGAGTGCCAGGTGGGGGGAGGGGCACGCAGTTGTGAGTGCCCAGCTGTAGTCTCAAGGCAGCGGCTTGGGCAGGAAGTGAAGCCAGGCAGGAGGGAGGGTCTGAGGGCTTCTGAAAGCATGTTTGGTGCGGAGAGGAGGGGTGGAAGGCACTGATCGGGTTTCTACACTTGGGATTGCAGAGGTGTTGACAGGAAGCAAAGGCGGAGGAGGCTGGAGGAGGGCGGAGGCCCTGAGCAGTGCTGGGGGGACTGGGTCAGGCCTGGTGCTGCCTCGAGTGACGGGCAGCGGGATGGTGGCCAGCTTAGCTGCAGATGCCCTGGCGGGATGGCAGGACCACCCGACACAGAGAGCTTCTCTAACGGGACTGGCAGGATTTGCTGCGTTGAAAGCTTGTACTTGAGTCATGTTTGGAAACGAACCCAGGCGACGTGGGCTGCAGGTCCTGGGAAGTGCAGTGTGCTGCTGCCCAGAAGCACCTTGGCCATCGCTGGTCTGGATGAGGGGAGATGAGTGGGCGTGCAGCTGGAGGCTGTTCCCAGGAGCAGCCAGTGCAGAGGCCCTGAGGCTGGACCCAGCCATCCCAACTTCCCAGATTGTGCCATCACCCCCTCCTAGAAGCCTTCCTTGGTTTTTCTTCTAGACAGACAGACAGGGTCCTCCCCATTGGGCTCCTGGCATTCACTTCCTTGTCTGCCCCCAGCCTTGACCCTGATGTCTGGCTGAACCTTGGCTCCTGAGCAGACCAGGAGAACCTGGGGGTTGAGGAAAACCTCTTCTGGGGCAGGCTGGGCCCACGCAGAGCAGCCCCACCCCAGGAAGAAGGGAGTCCGTCCCTCCTTCTGCCTTCTGGGCCTTTCCATCCCTGCAGGTCCAGAAAGCCCCTCCTTCAGGAAGCTCTCCCCGATTGCCACATTCACCCCCTTACTCCTGACCTGGCCCTCCTGTGCTTGGGGGGTGGAGTGGCAGCTGACTCCTCCCTTCCTTTCCTCCTAGGGACCCAACTGCGCAGCCCGGGGGTGAGCTGATGCTGGGCGGCACGGACTCCAAGTATTACAGGGGTTCTCTGTCCTACCTGAACGTCACCCGCAAGGCCTACTGGCAGGTCCACCTGGACCAGTGAGTAGTGGCTGCAGTCTGCTCCCCTGGGTTCTGTGGGTGGGAGCGGCATGCAGGGACCCTGGAGGAACCAGGTTCTGCAGGTGGGGGTGCCTGTGGGGAGTGGTGGAGCTGGGCAAGAAAGAGATGGGGTCGGACCAGCCCTTCATGCCCCTCCATGCCCCCCATCCCCTCCATCCCCTCCATCCCCTCTATCCCCTCTATCCCTCCATCCCCTCCATCCCTCCATCCCTCCATCCCCCCCATCCCTCCATCCCCTCCATCCCTCCATCCCTCCATCTCCTCCATGCCTCTGTGACTCTCCATGACCCACCATCCCCTCCATCTGTCTATCTGTCCATCCCTCTATGCCCTTCATCCCCTCATTCCTCTGTGACTCTTCATGACCCTCCATCCCCTCCATCTGTCCATCCCTCCATGCCCCTCCATCCCCTCCATCCCCTCCATCCATCCATCCCCTCCATGCCCATCATCATCATCCCCTCTGCCACTCTGGGTCTCCTCTCCCACCCTTCGCCCTGGAGGACTCACGGTCCCCTGTGCATCCAGGAGCGCTGAGAGGAGGAGAGTGCAACCCAGCCAGGGGAGGGGTATGGGAGAGGGGCTCCCGGGGGGGCACTGGGCCTCCAGAGCACACTCCAGTCCAGGCAGGGGCCTCACGCCCTGACTCCCTGCAGGGTGGAGGTGGCCAGCGGGCTGACCCTGTGCAAGGAGGGCTGTGAGGCCATTGTGGACACAGGCACCTCCCTCATGGTGGGCCCCGTGGATGAGGTGCGCGAGCTGCAGAAAGCTATCGGGGCCGTGCCACTGATCCAGGGCGAGGTGAGCGCCGGGGGCTGGGGCTGGGGCTGGGGCTGGTAGGGGGAGCCCCAAGACCACCACTACCACCCTGACACCTCTGTGACCCCTCTTAGTACATGATCCCCTGTGAGAAGGTGTCCACCCTGCCCACGATCACACTGAAGCTGGGAGGCAAAGGCTACAAGCTGTCCCCAGAGGACTACACGCTCAAGGTGAGCAGGCGGAGGGGGCACATGCCCCAGGGGAGCAGGCGGAGGGGGCACATGCCCCAGGGGAGCAGGCGGAGGGGGCACATGCCCCAGGGGAGCAGGCGGAGGGGGCACATGCCCCAGGGGAGCAGGCGGAGGGGGCACATGCCCCAGGGGAGCAGGCGGTGGGGGCACACGCTCAAGGTGAGCAGGCGGGGGGCGCACACGGCCCAGGTGAACGGGGGTGGGGCGCATGCCCCAGGTGAGCCGGCAACAGGTTGGGGGGCGGCTGGTGCCAGGCCTGGGTGCTGACCACCAGGGCCATCCCAGGTGTCGCAGGCCGGGAAGACCCTCTGCCTGAGCGGCTTCATGGGCATGGACATCCCGCCACCCAGCGGGCCACTCTGGATCCTGGGCGACGTCTTCATCGGCCGCTACTACACTGTGTTTGACCGCGACAACAACAGGGTGGGCTTCGCCGAGGCTGCCCGCCTCTAGTTCCCAAGCCGTCGGCGTGCCAGCACAGAAACAGAGGAGAGTCCCGGAGGAGGAGGCCCCTGGCCCCCTGGCGCCTCCCACACGTAGTCACACACACTCACACACTTGCCTGCCCACTGCCCTGGGTGCCCTGGAAGCCGGCAGCCCAAGTCAGACCTGCTGTTTTGTTCTGTGGTTTTCCCCTTCCTGGGTTCAGAAACGCCACCTACCTGTCCGCCTGTCTATCTCTCCACCTGTCCGTCTGTCCACCTGTCCGCCTGTCTGTCCGTCCGTCTGTTTGGTGGGGGTAGAGCTGATCTGGAGCACAGATCTGTTCCATACACTTGGAAGACCCCGCCCTAGCTTGGCAGCCGAGCTTGTGTATCCTGGGGCTCCCTTCATCTCCAAGGAGTCCCTTCCCCAGCCCTACCAGCGCCCGCTGGGCTGAGCTGCCATCCCACACCAGGCCGTCCTCCCGGACCCTCCCTTGGAAACCTGCCCTGCCCGAGGGCCCCTATGCCGAGCTTGGGCCCCTCTGCCCAGCTTGGGCCCAGCTGGGCTCTGCCACCGCTACCTGTCCAGTGTTCTGGGCCCATTGTGGATGAGGCCAGTGGAGGCCTGAGGATGAGCTGGAAGGAGTGAGGAGATAAAACTCACCTTCTGGAGCCTGCTCGGTGGTCCTGGGACTGAGCCCATCTTGGGGCATGCATTGGCCTGGAGGTGGGGCTGGGACTGGGGGCTGGCGTCAGCCTTCCTCTGCAGCTGACTTTTGTCCTCCCCTTGGGCGACCGAGAGCCCCAGCTGATGTGGAAATACAGTTGTTGGCCTTCCCTCTGTGCTGGTGTGCTCTGCTTGGCGGGGGAGGGGTGGGGGTGGCTCCAACTTGGGATGGGGAGGGGGGTGGGTAATGCGAAGCCAGCACGGCAGCTGAATCAGGGCAGCACCAGGACAAGCATTGGGGTGCCCTGGGCCTATGGCCCCCTGCCCTTCCCAGCCCATGGGCTCCAGGGCGGTGGCCAGCTGTCCAGCCTGGTTGGCCAGCGGGGACCGACTTGTTCCCAGGTCTGGAGCAGTGGCCGGCAGGATGTGGCCTTGGCTGGGTCTGCAGGGTGGGGCCGACAGGGTGTCCAGTATGAGTGCCAGCCTTGAGGAGTGATTTCAGGGAAGTGGCCCAGCCAGGCAGCCATGGCACTTGAACAGAGGATGTTTCCGCTCTCAGGGACCATCAGAGCAGGCCTCCCAGTCACCCTCCGTAGTCCTCTCATCCTGGGAAAGAAATGGCCCCAGGTGGCATGGGTGGCTGGCCTATCTGGGCCTTCTTGCTTCCCAGGCCCTAGAAGCAGCTTTGTGAGCAGTGAGCCGAGCTGGCGCCAGTCAAGCCTGCCCAGGGTCGCTGGTTGCAGGGATTGGACTCAGAAGTCCCCTCCAGCCACAGTTGCCACAGTCACAGATGCCCAGGCTGATCAAGGCAGTGTGCTTGTTCCGCTGGGAGGGGAGGGATTGGGAGCATTGCCTGGATGCAGTGGTAGCAGCCCATGGAGTTTTAAGGGCTAAGTAGGAGTTTGTGGGCATGTGGTGGTGGGCGCAGAGTTCCTTTTGGGATCAGTAGCTCTGGAGTCACTTGGAGCCCCACCCCAACAGGTTAGAAGATGAGGCGAATGTGACATTTGCCATTATCCTGATGCTTCCGCCTGAGGGTGGTGGCTACCTTGGCCTTCCTCCCAAGGGGGTTCCAGGGCTTGCACCCCAGAGTCACACCACGGCAGACACCTGGAGCAAGAACATTTACCCGGGGTGGCACGGAGGCTTGGAAACACATGCCTAACGTTTGGCATTCCTGGAATCTGAGCAGAGCCCGGCAGAGCTCTGCAGGGCCTGGCAGGGCTTCTGGGGAGACAAATGTCCCGTCGTCAGATGCTTTGTGCACTGAGGCCCCGGGGGGCGGGCAGAGAGGTGCAAGGAGGCAGCCGTGCCCTGTTGTCCCCGCCCTGTCCCACTCTCCCCGTCTCCCTCCCTCTGCAGCCTGTCAGCTCCGTCCAGCTCCCATCTTCACGGCTGCTGCCCTGGGGTTGCTCTGAGGGCTCCCTCCTGCCCGGCAGGATTCTTGGGGCCCTGGAGTCTGACCCCAGGCTCCTCTGGTTTTCTAGCTGGTGTTTGGACCCTGTAGTCCTTCCTGTCTAGACCCGGTTGTAACCAGAAACCCCTAGCAGAGAGTGTGCTGGAGCCCAGGCCCTTGGGGAGCCCAGTACAGTCACATGAATGCTGGCTGTGCTGAGTTTGGCTGGGCCCTGGCTCTGCCCTGTGACCTCTGTGACCCTTGGCTCCCTCTCAGTGGTGTTTCCTGGCCTCAGAGAGAGGCAGCCCCAAGGTGGCCTGAGGCCGGGAGCAGGCCCTGGCTCCCCTGTCACCTACCCAGTGACCCTGGGCAGGCCCTGGCCCCTCAGGCCCAGGCAACCCTCTCCTCCTTCTATGGAGGCCTCCTCACTGCTTGAGGCCTTCAGGGCAGACTGGGGCAGCACTGGGGAGAGGCTGTGTGGTAGGCCAGTGTCTCCCAGAAGGTGGTGGCTGGTCAGGTAGGCCCAGTTCAGATGCTGGGGAGACATGGGGGCATGGTACACAGGCCACACACAGCCTGGGAGGCCCCCAAGATCAGGCCCCGCCTGAGGACACCAGGTCCAGTTTTCCCTGGGCCAGGCCCTTGGAAAGGAGGAGGGAGTTGGGGAGGGAGAACGGAACCCTGGTTCTCTGGCAGGCCCCATCCACCCATGGCCTGTGGGCTCCAGGGAGAGCATGGCCAGGGTGCCCAAGGAGATGAGGAGGAGGCCCCTCATGCTTGATGACCTCTCCTGCTCACTAGGGTTTATCAGCATCATTTAAGATCAGCCCTGTGCTGTGGGTTCCTGGCGTGCTGTGGATAACGCTATGCCAGGGGTCAGCCCAGGCATGAGGGGTGGAGACTAGGCTGGAAAGGGGAGGGGCTTGCAGAGGGCTGGGCTTTTCCAGGGGATCAGGGTTCAGAACAGAGGTTTGGGGAGAGAAAGGGTTCAGAGATGACCTGGGGTTCAGGCACAGGCGGACAGAAGGACCCCAAGCAGGACTGGCCTTCCAGACAGGAAAGAGGGTTGCGGAGACACAGGAGGCCAATTTAGAGAGGCAGAGGAGAAAGGAGTTTCATGGGAAGACAGGGCTTGGAGAGAGATGAGGGAGGGAAACGGGGTCCGCCATGCACCCTCAGCTTCCGGGGGACTTTGGAGAGGGTCGGGGCTCAGTGGGAGCCGGAGGTTGGTGAAGAGGACCCAGTTTAGGGCACCTGTGTGGTGAAGTGGGGGACTCGGAGGGAGGCAGGGAGGCAAGGCCAGAGTTTTCTCTTTGGGGAGGGACTCATGGGGACTGTTATGGGGATGGAAGAAGATCAGTTGGGGTCAAGCGTACCGTGAGAGTGAGGATGTGGTGGGGTAGCGGAGGCGGCTGAGGCTGGGAGGACCAGCATTGGTTAGGAAAATGATTCACAGGAAACAAAGAAGCCTCAGGGGACCAGGCCCAGAAGGGCTGGTAGGGATCGCAGAGAGGCTGTGGGCAGGTGAGTGGACCAGCCTTCAGGGAGACAAGTGTCCTTAGCAGCCAGGACCTCAGCATGGGACCAGAGCTCGGAATGGGACACTTTGCCCTGCGGGCAGAGGGCGTGTGACCTGGGGTCTGTGCAGGAGAGGCCGCATGCCCCCAGACTGTGGGAGTGAACTGGAGTGGGGCCCTGGCTGGGTGAAGTCAGACTCCAGGAAAGAGGGCAGGAGCTCCGATGGGAGAAGTGGGCTCAGCCAGGAAGGAACAGAGTAGGGGTCTCTGAAACTTGTCGGAGGGCCTGGACTTGGTGGGCTAAGGAGGGAAGGGACTGGAGGGTGGCATTGGGGGCCTTGGTGACTTGGTTAGGGATAGGACGGGCAGAGATGGGCACTCGGGTAGAAGGCCTGCTGGGGCTCAGGGGACTGGAGCTTCTTCCGGAGGGTACTGGAGCTTCCTTAGGAGGGAACTGAGCTGCTGGAACTGAGAGTCAACAGGCCAGAAGGGCAGGACCCAGGGGCGGGGGTCCCTTGAGGCAGCAGGGCCCAGGCGCTGGGGTAGAGCGCGATGGGGAGAGCGTTAATAGGAAGGGGGTCTCTCTTGGGGAGGCAGATAGAGAGGGTTCCGGGAGCCGCTAGTCTTTCACGGGGCGGGGGGCTCCGCGAGAGGGATGGGGCCGGGTGGGGTGGGGAGGAAGACACAGCGGGTCCGGGGAGATGGAGGTGGCGCCGGCACCCTGGTCGGGCGCTGTAGGGGTCCCATCCCTGCAGGACCTT